TGCGAAGTTTGCCGATTTGCAGCTCCTCGTTCTAAATCGGTTTAACGGTCCTTATTCCCTGGCTACCGTTACACATCGACCCCAGTCTTTCCTTTCCGTAACATTTACCGAAATGACACGAGTGGTAACTATTTGCCCTAAGCTTCTACACGTTGGACCTGCGGAAACTCAACCAGCTTTGACCCCCAAGTCACGGTGACATTAACTGACGATCGAAGTACGTGACAACACTATAATATAGTTTGTTTACAGCTCTATATCTCAGATATTATCTCAACCATATCCGACTCTACTCCCATTAAACATATAATAATCAGCATTGTCAAGTAGTTGTTCCACTTCATTCGGTGACTGCATACCGTGGAAGTTTACCTCGTACTACGGAGCAGTGACGCCATACTGTGGTCAATGGGGAGGTTACCAGGACTGTGACACGAGTATGCTGAACCACACCGTCTCAGACGTGTCGCCATCGCGTGAAGACATTATTATTTATAAATTGCATTTTCCCGTTTGGGATAGGTTATTTCATGTACAGTTTTATATTAAACAAAGGAATTCCGAAAATAGACGGAACAGTGAGGATGTGAGAGAGGCATTTCCTGCCTGTGGCGTCGAAGACGGAAGACATGCCAGAATTAATATCGTATTGTAAGTTCGTATTTGGTCAGTTTTTAGTTTTCAAAACACGGAGTGAATGAGTATGGTTTTACGCCGCTTCTAGCGATATTCCCACAGCACCACGGTGGAGAACCTGGGTCTAGATTTTCGAAGCTCTTTCAGCGCTAAGATAGCCGTAAGTGCCATACATTAACATTAACTTACGACTATCTTAGCGCTAAGAAAGCTTCGAAAATCTAGGCCCAGGGTCGTCGGCGTGATTTACGAACGTTATGAACAATACGCACACGCGCGCGCGCGCACACGCACACACACATATCTCATCGTCATTGATTGATGGAGTTTTGGGTCTAACGCCACAGAGTTTCTTACGTATCATGGGGTGTCGGCCTATTGTAGGAGATAGGCTTGAAGTGACAGTTACTACTTTGATGAAACCCACGAACCCGTGCTCACAAACCTGCACACATAATCGGGGCGATCCCAGAATCGAACCCAGAATCAAAGGTTTCTGATATAGCCAAGGGACACAACTCTGAGCAGCGAAATGTGGTGCCAGAAAGAAATGGACCATTAACGTTAAGTATATCACACTAAAGGCAAGAATTTTATGGATGTCAACTTCTTTATTGTGATGAACACGACTTTTCAAAGTATATATTTACTCCTTCATCACCTGATATAGCAATATTCCAGCTATATGGCGGCGGTCTGTAAATAATCGAGTTTGGACCAGACAATCCAGTGATCAACAGCATGAGCAGCGATCTTCGCAACTGGGTGTCAACCAAGTCAGCGAGCCTGACCACCCGATCCCGTTAGTCGTCCCTTTTAGACAAACATGATGACCAATTCTAACCCGGATCTTCACGGGTATTATATATCTTAAAGTTTGCGACGTAGGCGTTGTAAAGATGGTTACAACAAATATCGTTCATACAAGCTTGTCAAAGTAGAGACATCGCAAGCATTGCCAACAATACATTTAGTTAAATAAAATGAAACACTGAAGTTATGACAAAGAGATATTTATGCATATGTGTAACAAAATAATTGAGGCGTTTATTCTCGGTAAATCTAACACAGGATTCAAAAACTTATTAAAAGACAGGAACCGAATGACGCTGTAACGTGATCAGTTAAATAATTAGTGTGTAAGTGTTTCTCTGTATAGAAACAGAGATCCCTAAATGTACTTGATGCACCCTTCGAGAGAGGGCAAAACTGCTAGGTGTGACTTATCGTTGTAAGATCAGTGCGACACCCACGTGCCCGTGAATTCACATATCAAGTGTGTAACTCTGATCTTGACTGAACATACGATACGTGCCATTTAACGGTGGGTACATTCGTGCTAGGGCTTCCACGGGTACTCAAGAGTACTCGAGGACGAGTCGGGTTTAGCTGGACTCGAGTCCATTTGATTGGAAATAACAAGGACTCGAGGACTCGAAAAGGGGAGATAACTTGAATTATTGACGTTGACAGACTGTCTGCCATGTGCTAAGCATGAGAGGCCGTTAACGTCTAATATTAAGATATGATATAACTTTATTATGCCGGAGGAAATTCTTATACATCCAACTGTCTCAATATGAATATATACGCAGTTCACAAAAATATACACAATAATTACATGCTCAAAACGAATGCTATTTACACAATAAAACTGACATGATATAATTCAATTAACCACATAGGTAAAGAGGCTGAATAATTCTAGTTGTAATCACGTGATGGTGATTCAAAATATTTGTTGCATTCACGAATACTTGATGGTATGAAAGACTGTCGAACTCTGTTTTGAGGGAAGGTAATCGACAGCAGTGTCCAGGAGGAAGTAGTTCAAAATGGTGAGATCAAATATGTCAACTATCAAATCTAATTTTAGTTGCCTTTGTGACAATCTGGCGCTCATAGATAAAGGGAATATACTTGAACACCCCAGAAATTTTGCAAGCGGTATTAACAATTTTGAAAAGTTTGTTTTTGTTGCAATGAGACAGACTCCCATACCAACATAGAAAATTGTAGGTCAACACACTTTGAATAAAGGTTTGATAAAAAACTGTCATTACGGTTTTGTCAATGCCTTGACGATAATAATGTTCAGAATCAGAAATTAAGCCAGTAACAGTGGCGTCATCTGCGAATTTCACAGTAAACACGTCATATATTGACAAGTAGCAGTCATTGGTATACAAAACGAAGAGTCCGGATGAAGGAACACAGCCATTTGGTAATGCAGTAGAGGTTGAGAGAAAAGAAGATTGATAGCCATTGACACTGATCGACATACTGAGTTCTATGTACCCTGAATTCTTTAACCCATCTGAAAATGTTTTCATTAACACCTAGATTAAATCGTTTACTCATCACACGGTGTGGCTGTATGGTATTAGTTGTTACAAGTCTGCAGATGAGAGTAAATATTATACATCGTTTGAAATTTCACTTCTTAAAATGATAAGGTAACTATCTTGACAATTGATAGACATGGAGAAAGATTAAAAAATCAAATGTATGGGCGTATCTTGATCTGGATAGAGAAAGGAGAAAAATAACCAAATGCCGCCTGTGCGGTATATCACTGCGTTTTGCAGGCAGTACAAGAACTACGATGAAAAAAAACATTTGTCAAGTAAACATCAAAATACTGATTCTGACCAATGGGAAATGTTAGTCACATAACGATATAAAGTCGGAATGAAGTAAGTGTTCACTTGTGTGATCGGAACAGATGTCATGCAAGTTACGCTATTGTTTGCTTGAAAGGTATGAATTTCGAGTACTCGGGTCCGAGTCGAGTCTCACCCCTCGAGTACTCGAGTCCAAGAAAATGGACTCGTTGAAGCCCTACTAGTGCGAGCTTCTACCGTGGGCATCCTGGGTGAGATTTGATACGATTGACTTTTGTTGCGATATACTTTGAAGCTCTCATAAAATATAAGTTAAGCCACCATTTGACACAATAAATACTCGATGGGAGTTTCGCGTGATGAAGAACCAGGCAGGGGAGTGTTTTTAATAGTTTTTTGGAGGGGTTGTGTTTTACGTAGTCCTGTGGATGGGGTTGAATAAATGTAATCACCCGTGTTGGTTGACAGTACAATTGCACTAGCTGGGGCAACGGGAAGCACCTTTGTTATAATTTGTAACATCGGGAAAATTTATTTGTTTCATAGTGAGAAATGTTTATAATGCAATCAGATTAAATCGATTCTTAGTTCTAGCTACAGCTGAACAAGCAAGATTAATTGTGAAATGTATTCACGTCAGAGTGATAAAATTGAAATGTTAACGCTATCATACAGATAAAAAAAAGAACAACACAGAAAAGGATTTTGAAACTTTACATACAGAGCTTATATCATAAATAAAATCACACATTATGGCATCTGGACAATGGATTATAAAAAAAAGAACAGAAAGATGAAGTAATGATTATAGGTATCATAACATGGCTAGTCCATACCTACTTGTTACCCATAGGATGGTCCAGCGGTGTGTGTGTGTGTGCGTGTGCAGGGGTGCCCACCTCCCTTTGTCCTGAAACTTTATTAAATGATCATTGAAACTCTCGTAAAAATGAAGAGTGCAAACACCCCACCCCCACCCCCAGAAAAAAGAAAAGGTGTATCCGCCCCTGCTGCCTAGTCTACTCTTTTATTTAATTAAATAAAAATTAGTTTAGGTATGTATGTCAACAATTTATTTTGGAGGCTGTTGACAATGTGTGAAGCCCATTTCTGGTCGTGATTTTGCTGGAATATAGTGCTAAAAGCGGCGTAAAACTAAACCCACTCACTCAATAGGCAAGGTATCATATATAGGGTCTTGCAAAGATTTGTGTCCTCATATTTGGACACTTAAAACTCTTTGACCAATGATGTTTCTCCCAAGAAATTTAAATAAAGACGGGAACAGTCGAACAATGTGTTTTTGGTCATGGGATTACTCATAGTAATATTTTCTCTTCACGATAAAATATTCTGCCCTTTCTACGCATGCAGTGATGAGCGTTGTCTGTCTCACAGTCCCTGAACCACATTATTTTCTCTTCCACCCAGCCCTCCCTAAATCCCTAGATGAAGCAAGTCTAGATTTCCCCCCAGTTTCATCTGAATCTCCTAACTCACTAGGGCTCCTTTTCAATTTAAAGGGGTTTATTTGTTAATATCAATATTTTATATATTCAGAGACTAAGCATTAGTCTACAAGTCCCACTATAACATATTTAACTGAAATTATTTCATCCCAAAACTGTGATGCTGTGTATGTCTATATGTATAAAAAATGCATTCGGGGACTGAGCGTTAGTCTATGATGGGCGCAGCAAAACGTACTCAAGAGTTATCTGCCTTGTTAGTTTGCGCATGCGTGACCGGATGTTACAACCATGCGGACGCGGTGAAACGTTTCGAATATACACTTTGTTGGCTTTTGGCGTTTACTTATAAAAACAATATATTATAGAAGAACTGTAAGCATACAAAATGGTTCGTCTAACAGCAGAACTAATAGAGCAGTCTGCACAGTACACCAACCCGGTGAGAGATCGTGAGTTGGACATGAGAGGTGAATGCAAGATTTCGTTTGATTTTTGTCAACAAATTTCGGTCACAAATTTCTTCATGGCTATCGCTAAGTAAAGTGATGGATTGTTGAATTTTTTGCCTTATTTCACATTTATCGAAGTATTACTTTGCAATATTGGTTTCGAACTCAGGCGATCACTGTTGAGGTTGCCTTCAAAAACCACTTGGAAGTGTGTAGAGAGTTAGAAACTTGACAAAAGGGTTAGCAAGAACCTGGTAAAATGTTACACAATATACGAGAACGAAATGAAGTAATTTTCGCAATGATAATAAACTTGAGTTATCTTTCGTTGCTATTTATCACTTCTTGATAAATAGTCCAGAAAACATTAATATCAAATACCATGTTCATTTATTCTTTCATAATTACATCATCATGTTTATGTAATAAAAATCAGGGCAAGTGGAAAATTAGTTGGGACAAGTTACTTTCTTTATGTCACTTGCCCCGAGTCAAGTGGCTTTTAAAAAACATTTTGAACCCCTGGCCAACCCTATTTTAGTAATATTGCTCACTGTGGTATTATAAAAACACTAACAGAAACACAAGAAGCAAGATTTCAATGCAGATACACGTATATATGAAATGTCATTTGTGATGGTTTGTGAAGACACAATATTTGAGGGACCTGAAAAGAGCACAGCAGTGTTTGGAAATAGATGACAAAGTGTTGTTGTGATTGTTTATGTTGACGCTAATTTCATACTCATAGTCTGTATAGACTGATACATTTGGTGTGTTCAGCTCTTTAATTGTAATATCATGTAACTAATTGCTTTTGTATTTAATTGTAGGCTACAGAATACCAGTCATTGAAAATCTTGGTGCAACACTGGTGAGTATTTGGCAACTAGGTGGGGGCCCTGGTAAGAGAATATGAAGATAAGCAGATTAGTTCCTTATGACTGTCGCTAGTTGTAACAGAGGTATCGTCATGACTGAATGGTCAGATTTTATGCAGTGTTTACCCTTAACCCTGAAAAGCTACAGTCACTAAGGACCCAGAACCATAAAAAGTTGTGGGTCTTGATCAGAATGTGTAGGCCCTATATTTTGGCTTCACTATATGTAATTCCTAGCAAACAAAAAATGTGACAACTAGCAAACTAAGTTAAAGAGTTTAATTTGACTCTAGTCACTGACTAGTGAAAAGGATACCCTGCAATGCATTCAGATAACTTGTTAGAGGTTAAGAGATCATATCTCGATAATCTAAATTGCTTCCTCAAAAATGATAGTCGTTTCACTTACAGACAACAGCTGCTGATCGAGATAAAAACTAGAAATTACTGAATGATATTTTCTGAGAAATAATGCTCTTAGTTATTAGGGATGAAAAAGCTGTCGGCCATAAGGACCTGCAGAAAACAAAAGCTTTGGGTCCAAGTGGTTTTCAGTCTTCTTCTGGCCTAAGGACCGAAGTTAATTTCGAACACTGATTGTATGTCATTAAATCCAAATGACAGGTGTGGTTTAATATCAACCACAGGTTTCCCTTGTCCAGTCTTGATTAGAGACTCCGACCATTGATGCATCTGGTATGTCATGTATTTGGACATAAAACAAAATACAAACCTCAAATAGGCAGGCCAGGGTATAATCATCAGTTATGGCCAGAGGATAAGTTCATCCCTTTTCATGACTAACAGAACAGGAATTACTATTTAAATGATCAATCATCATGTCTTGTGATGGTGTATCTCAAATTTCACATATTAATTTTATTGACTTCGTTTCTTAGTCATTGTGCTAACGCCTGTTAGTTCAACTGAATTAGCTGAATATACTAGAGGGATACAATGTAGTGTTTTTAAAAATGTTTACTCAGATAATGCAGGAAAATCTACAAATACAGAACTTATAAACACAAATTGATGGATGCGTATCATGTCATAGGTTAATACTGTATTTGCAACACACAGTGGATTGAATTTTTTGAAATTATTATTGTGCCCCCGCCACAATGCGGAACGGGGGACTATGTATTCAGCAGCGTCCGTCCGTTAATTCTTGTTAACGCAATATCTCATGAACTGTTGTACCCAATGTCTTGAAATTTGGTGACAGCCTACATTGGGAGATTACCCAGACACCAGTCGATTTGGGTGACCTTGACCTTATTTTCAAGGTCACCATGACACTTTGACTTTTCAAACTGTTGTTAACGTGATATAGTATGACCAGAAATTATTGAGAATTTTAGGAATATGTTTAAAGGCCACATGCAACGTAAAACACAACTTTGCAGATTCTGATACCTTTCGGTATGGACTTACCGAAACAAAGCGTCAAAAATGCAAATTCAACTTATAAAGTTGAAAAATAACGTGATGAAAAAAAACGCGCGAAATCGGAGTTCAAGCGTTTCACTAATTTTCCCCAGAAAAGTCTGGGGAATACAGGTTTCAACAGCTGGGCTGCGCTCATAGCATGTGCGCAGTGAAATAGGTTCTCGCAACTTGGAAGCGGGCTGTCTGGTGAATACTCGGTGAAGGCTTTGGTGTGAGCTATTTTCATAATGTTTTGTTGATGTCTCACAGGCTCGAGCTTTTTATATGTTATGACAGTAAATAAACTGTTTATATAATTTCATTTGTCTATTTCACCACACGTTCTTCTTACCGAGTCACTTTCTCAGTTCGATACTTAAAAGCAATGTCATTATTTAGCGTTGACACAATTTCTAACTGTGATATAGATATGTCGCTGTCACAGACAAAACTCAATGTCTTGTTTTATTGACACCTGTGTGTCTGCCTGCCTGTCTGCCTGCTAATGACAATATTCAATACACAACTGCTATCACTGACAGCATGCAATTTGAACTTAACACCAATCAGGCTATACACCATAAACAAAACGCATTGATTTATGGCCCGAGTTCGGTCTCTGTCACATTATGTAATTACACAGACAGGCAAGTGTGATACTTGAACACATGACATGTTATGATGTCTGTTGATTGCAAAATGTTATACACAAAAAATGAGCATGTATTTACAAAACCCAACATCTCTATATATACACACACAATGAGCCGCGTAGGCGGCATCTGCTAATGAACCAGCCGTTACACTTGAGTGCACACCCACCCGCTCTGACTGGGTTCGGTATCCCGGCTGCTTCGTTTCGAGGGAGGTAAACCCAAGTACAAAATATTGCACTTTTGATTTGCGATTATACGCTTATAATTTTGTTTATTTTTCCTTATCCTGACTCATGCTCTTTTGCTTGTCCCCTTCCTCTTGCGAACATAGTGGAACACTTGTATCTCCTTAATTGAAGCTCCCTTCAATGTAAAATCACTAATTGGTACTCACCCAAGAGTTGCCTCCCGTGCCGTAAGCGCGGGAACAGGTGTCGCCACCCTCTGGCCTCATGCTTCACTCTCTCCTTCTTCGCCCAGTGAGCAGGATGTGAGAGCGCCTGTGTCTCCTTACACACTATATCCTTTGGTTTTCTTAGTTACCTCTTATAGTTTACTATAAAGGTATAGCTAGTATCCTTCATTAATTTGCATTGATAATTAATTGTATTTCTACTGTTTATTCACGTGAGTTCGTGATTGTTCAGCTAGTATTACGTTGATGAAAAACTGTACTATTTGTAGATTACGTATTTCCGCTGCGGATCCGCATGTAGTATGCCCTAGTTGTACTACGCCTTGTGCGTTTGATTCACGTTGCAGTTACTGCATTAATTTAACCAATTCTGCCTTTAATAAATACCATCTTTGCGTCTTGAGGCGTGTTGCAGATAGGTCACGCCAAACTAGGTGTAGACATGGCGATACATCGGATTTCCCATCCAGTCAGCTGCTGTCGGCGACCCCTCCCGTCTGGTGTTCTGCTTGAGACCCCATCGGAAGAGGGACGTGGGATGCAGTCCGTCACCTCTAAGAAGCGACCGGCCTCCCCAGACATCCCGTCATCGCAGATAAAGTCCAAGAGGGCCTCAACGTCTTCTCAACGCAGACTTCGTACCCCAGGGCAGCGTCATCCTCCAAAGGGAAATCTGAAAAGTCGCCGAGAACTTTCTCAGCGAGATCGTTCCAGCAGCAGAATTGGGCCTCTCACGATGACCAGCCAATCATCATACCCGACATCGCCACAAGAAGCGACCAGTGACAGCGACAGTGACTTCAGCAGAGATCACCATGCAGCCTGATGCCTCTACACTGATGTCAGACGAGATCGCTGAGGGCCCCACCGCTATCAGCGCCCAGAGAAGGCACCATCTACTTAGCGCGCAGATCATCCCAGACGATCTAATGAAGCAGATCATGATCATGATGGAAGGCCACTACAGACTGGAGAAGCAGCCATCCCAGGGTCCGAGCCTTCAAGGCTCCAGCGTGACAGCACCCCAGAGGCACCCCTGTCAGCGTAGCAGCCACGACGATGCCGCCTTCGCGAAGGAAGTCACAGACCACCTGGACGAAGGACCCAGATGTACAGCCTTCGCGAAGGCGGGAAAGATCATCACCTTCTTCGGCGTCATACTCAGATACGGAATCTGATCATCAGACCTCACGGAAGCCTTCGCGAAGGTCATATCACCGTTCCCCAGGACCGGACGCAGAGGAAGCTTCGCGCAGGCGTTCGCGAAGGACACCTGAACCCAGATCGTCATCATCTAAAAGGACATCGAGGGACTACACAAGAGCTTCGCGAAGCTACCAACGGTCCCCTCACAGGTCTCCAAGAAGATCAACCTATCGATGTAGATCACCAAGACGATCGCCTCGCTGATCACCACGCCGATCTCCACGTACATCACCACGTCGATCACCTCACAGGTCTGCACACAAGCCTACAACTAGATCTCCACAAGCGTCAAACGATATAGAGATAGAGCCACACAGTCCTACATCAGAAGAGCAACAACCTCTCATTAATGATGATGGAATGGAAGATGATGGAGGAATTATTTTCTCAGATGCAGAGATAAGATATTGGATGGTCAATAATCTAGATCTCTCATCACCTTCCAAGAGTGGCAACACGGCGCAGACATACCTGATGAAAGAAGACGATGCAGATGCTATCACACTACCCCCAATCGACCCGATTGCACCACACAGAACCTAGATACAGCATTCCACAAAGCCACGAAGGTTCAGACACCACATCTGCCAAACTTTCACGCCAAGAAGTTCTCCACGCATAATATGGACCCCTTCTTCAAGGCTAAGACATCGATGAGAACTACAAGCTGATCTCCGATGCCAAGAACAAGTACTACAAGATTGATGATCGGAAATTGGTTCAGATAGAAACCATGACGAGACGTATGTTCTTTGGTCTAAATAGATCTAGAACAATAAATGAGACACTTATCACCAGATTTAAGTAACACGACCTCGGAAGATGATAGAATGATTTACTCGGCCCTACTGATGCAAAAAGAAGGACCAGCAGTTCTTAACAGATCATCTCACGTCTGTCTCAGCAGCACTGACCTTAGCTCGTCGTCAAGGCCTCCTCGCTTCCTGTAACTGGGGTGAGAACTTTACAGCTCCACTATATACAGCCCCGTGGTCTTCCCCATCCATCTTTGACGGAGGAATAGACAAAGTCTCCAAGGAAGTCACCAAGGATTCCAGAGAAGTCCTGATGATTAAATCGATGGACACGCTAGCCAGTGTCATTCGACAGACTTCACAAAGATACTCAGGGAGATCTAAATTCACGGGCCTACAAAGAGCAAGAGACAGGAAGATAGCCAGTTCCAGGGGAAGAGATTCTTTTCGTCGCCCATATGGCAACTATAGAGGAGGGTCAGGAAGAGGCAGGACACCCAGAGGTTCCCGCAACTATAAACCGTCACAAGTGG